AGTTGTCAAGAAAAAAGTTTTTCAGAATTGAAAGAGCTATATTTGTACAGAGAGCACTGCACAATAACAGAGACTTGAATATACAAATCCTTTGAAGGAACAGTGAAAAATGAACCCATCTGTTGAATGGAATAATAATTAAAAGGAAAATGCACATGCACAAAGTGGACCTAACAGTAAACATAGCCCACATACTATTACATCAACCACATAAAACATCTTCAAATTAGAACCAATTGTCAATTTTTTCATTTATCCTATGTATTGGGGTAGGGCATTCGCCTTTTGTTGTACCAAATATTCATATCTTCTGAAACAAATTAGAAGAATAGATTTATTTTACCCAATGCTTATTTCACCCAATCCCTGGTGGCATGTGTGCCATGTTTCTTTTTTACTTTTTTATAGTTTGTTGAGTAGAGATGCAGCAGAATAGCCCTCTTGCGTGTGTAGACTCTTGTGCTGGACTGAGATCACTTGCAGAGGCTTGTGACTGTTGTGTAGTGATTGATGTAGTGTAGAAATAATCACTAGACAAACTCACAAGGAAACACAAATATCTTTATAAAGCAAACTGCAAAACTGTAGTTCAACTAATTTGCAATTATACATGTTAAATAAATCACAATGACTCCCAGTTTAGCCCTTGGGAGTTTCCCAGGTAATGTGACATTATTTAGACTAATACATCCATTTATGAGGCTCCCCATGGTCTCTTTAAGAAATGACTGCTCTAGATGTAGGGAAGGCTGAGGGAAAACCCCAGAGAAATCTATTGAACAAAGAGGAAAAATACATTTTGCCCACCAATATGAAAGTTGGTTTATAACCTGGATCCAACATATTTTAGTGAGATCACTGGATTCACATCGTTACCGCAAACCCAAGTACAGTTGTACAGTTTAGAGTTAAACTGTTTTGTTGAGAGGAAAAAAAATAAAATGCCTTTTAGAATTTTGTGGCAAAGATCTTTACTTGCATTTGTTTTGGTTTTGACAAATGTTGGCATTATCAGTAAGCATTATCAGTAAGTGCAGAAGTTTTACCTGTCAGAAAAGCTAGGAATTCAGCCATGAGAGGAATGCTTTGGAGGTGGCTGCAGGTACCGCCAGGTGTCTACACTTTAAACCAGCAACAGTTTTATGTTGTTACCCTAACCTTAGTCGTTTAAGGTAAAACAAAATATGCAACTTTAAAAAAATTTCAAGTTTAAAGTTTAACTTTAAATTTAAGTCTATAGTTTGTAGAATACAACCTTAGTTATGATCAACCCACAAATAGTGTCTAATAAACATGTAAGAATTGTTTCATTCCGATGAAACAATTTCGAAAAATTTCATTCAGACTTTTTTTATCAAAATGTCATTCAGAATCCATATCTTCTCAGCAACTAAATCAGTTCTTCATGGACCATCATAACTTGAATGCAAACTATATATGGAGACTCAATACCATTCTCCTCTCACACCCAGATCTCCACATCTCCACTGGATGGTTGCCATTTTACCCCTGTATGCACCGTTTGCAACACTGTATGTTTTGTTTGTGTTTGTCAAAATTTACCTCTAATAAAGAAATATTGAAAGTGAAAATTAAAAAACAGCATGGAATTCCCTCCCTAATTCATAACAAACACTTTAGATCTGGTAGGAATTTTCAGGGGGGTCCCCAATGCCAAAAAAACAGAAAAAATCATGGGATCCTTCCCTAAAATCTCTCTCCAGACCCTTGATCCAAGCAGCAGCTTGGCAGAGCACCTCCCCTCCTGTACTATACAAGGCCACATGCCCTTAATATGGGGAGGGTGCTTTGCTGGGGGGACCCAAATCCCGCCACCCCCTTGTGAATGAGTTGGGGGTAGTTTACCAATTTACCAAATAACAGGACAATAGTAAATAAACACAATAGTAAATAAACACCCCAACCGTACTACAAAGTTATTATTTGGAAAAAGGCATTGTTTTTGACAATGCCTTTAAAAAAAAAAAAGTGCATTGATGTAATCCACAGGTCAATCACATTGACCAGTGATGTAGATCTTCATCAATCACGATGGACAATGGCAACAAACTCTATGAAAGAAAAAATCGCTGCCACCCGCCGCTACGTCCAAACCCAATGATTACTGGCAACAAATGGCAGGTCTCCTCCCGAATGTCAACAAATTGGCGGAGCGAGTTTTGACATCATAGGACTTCATCCACCACTTTAATTACATTCTATTAGGGGACAGAGAGCTGTCGCTGAATGTAAACAATGGGGCAGAGCAAGTCCCACCCCTATGATGACATTCGGGAGAAGACCTGTCATTTACTGCCAGTGTTTTTGGGGGATTAGACGTGGTGGTGGGCGGTGGGGATTTTTTGTTTTGGCGAGTCGGCAGCTGTCCATCATGATAGACGAGGATCTACATCACTGGATGATGTGATTGACCTGTGGATTACATCAATGGACTTTTTTTTTTAATTATAAAGGAATTGTGTCCCTGTATGTTGGCAGGATTTAGACATATCTTTTGGGACTGTCCTGGCATTAGACAGTTCTGGGCTGATGTTACACATTTTGTATCTCAACTGGTGATGCTTGAGGTGTGGCCAGTAGGGATGAGCCGAGCACCCCCGTGTTCGGTTCTAATTCGAACTTTCGAACATGAAAAAAGTTCTAATTCGAACTAAGAACTCAATGTAAGTCTATGGGGGTAGAACTCAGAAAATTAAATGTCCCCATTTTGAAGCCTTATATGCAATTTATTGGCCATAAAAAGTGTATGGGGATCCGGGTACTGCCCTGTGGGACATGTATCAATGAAAAAAACACTTTAAAAAAAATACAATTTTTAAAGGAGCAGTGATTTAACATCACTTAAAATGAAACATTAAAAATTATAAATTCCTTTAAATATGGTGCCTGGGGGGTCCCCTTTCACTGCCTCTAAAGTGGCGCATCTGTATAATGTAAAGGACCTGCTGAAGCAAAAATTACATTTATAAAGAAAAAAATTACTTTTAAATTGCCGGTAACTGTGTATTGGTAATGTAGTGATTTTTGGGGGGATAAATTATGGAGATCTATATCTCTCTCTAGATCTATCTATCTATCTATCTATCTATCTATCTATCTATCTATCTATCTATCTATCTATCTATCTATCTCCCTAGATGTATATCTATCTATCTATCTATCTATCTATCTATCTATCTATCTATCTCTCTAGATGTATCTATCTGCTATAACTCTCTCTCTCTTTAACTCCTGCAACACACTACAAAGGGCCGCGGTGTCAGCAGCCTTATATAGTGTGCTGCAGGGACTTAGCTGTGAGACATGATTGGGCAGAGACATCATGACTTTGTCCAATCATGGCTCTAAATGTGTACTGAGCCCTGATTGGCACAGTCTTGCACCTGACCTGTGGTCAGGTGCAAAACGTTAGCCAATGACAGTTTTGGATGGTGCAGTGCATTGTGGGATGTTCCGCAATGTTCGGCGTTCAGCGAACGCTAGAACAGGCTATGTTCAAGTCGAACCTATGTTCGATTCGAACATGCAGCCCATCACTAGTGGCCAGTGATGGAGACCTGTCTTTTACATCTCACTGAACAAGTTACCTCCACTCGTGCCTCTAGAACGCTGCTGGGTATACTGTTATTTTATGCAAGGAAACTGATTGTGCTTAATTGGAAAAAGCAGAATCCTCCTACTCTGGAGGATTTGGAGGGGCTTGGTGGAGGCATCTATCCGGTTGTATAGGGCTGCCTACGTCCGTAGGGCTTGTCCTGCTAAATTCTACACAGTTTGGCGTTGTTGGATTGATTACCTCTCTCCTGAGCTTGGCTGATTTTTGCTATGGTGTCCTTTACTGTTTCATTCTTTCCTGAGGGTGATTCTGCTTTTTGGGCGGGTGGGCTGGTTTGCTTAACATGGTAATTGTTTATTAATCTTACTCTACTTATTTTCCCCTCTTCTCCCAAGTTAATAAGTGTTCTTTGCATGCTGGGTGTATTCTGAATTCTGTATATTGCATTGGATATTTGCGATATTACTTGTGGTTGACTAATGCGCGGCTCTGGTTGGTTGGGGGTGAGGGGTGTGGTTAGGGTGGGATTGTTGTTATTGTAGTTGTTAACTGTTAGTAAGAATCTGCCTTGGCTCAGGTGTTTTCCTGGTAATTGTTTTTATCGACTGTTTTATCCAATTAGAAACAATAAAAATAACTTTAAAAAGAGGAATTGTCTACAACTGTTGTTCTTTTTTTAAATAAAAGACGTTGTAGTACAGTGTTATGTGTTTATTTACTATTTTACTGTTATTTGGTAAATGAGGGGGGGGCGACATCTGGCCACCTGCAGCTCCCCACCACCATTGGGCCAGAGTTGTGTGGAAGAGCCCCCCCCCC